TAGATTTCTTTCTTTACACATACTTCTACATTATTTTTACTAAGTAGAGGAAATGTATTTCTAGTCAGGACTAGATTTAGGGGAGGACAACCGGGCCGAGAGCCCTGGGGCTTCCAGAAACGGAGGACCCCCACAATAGAGACTTTGGAAAAAAAACCTTTCGATTCCGACAAGTAAACACTAGTAAACATATTTTCCTTCTTCCAAAATTTAATTTCAGATAATTCTTGTCTCCGATTATATTTATGTATATTTGTTAAATACTAAAAGAATCTACGTGGTTTCACAATAAATTATTTATTGGAAAACTCACCAAAAAAAAATAGCTTATTTTATTTGAAAAATAATTTGGAGCCAGTGGGCCTCCATCCTCTGTTGCCCCAAGGTCTCCAGACTTCTAAATCCAGCCGTGTTTTTAGTACGTATTTCATTGGAAAAAAATCTATAAATAACATTTATAAGATACAGATCATAGAACCGAAAATGAATGAAGTAAAAGAAGCAATAAAAGAAGAAGTACAAAAAGTAATTTCCTATGGCCCGTTGAAATGGATATCTATTAGAGGTATCATCAAGAAGCGCTGACTTCAGGCATGCGGCCGCTCGTAAACTCATACCAAACCCCTATGTAGCATGGTATGAGAACATTGTCATGCTGCACTGAACCCACATAATGTGGAATAACTCATTAAATTGCCTGCGGGATTTGAAAGCAGTTTGAGGAGACCTACACTCACCATTAGGTGGAGACGGGTTGAAGAAGAGCCATCACATCACTCGAAACAAGTACACCAAACGCCTTATCTTTTAGGCCAGGACTTGAACGATATTCACAACGAAAGGTATCTAAAATACTTTGGAGATCCGAGATATTTCTATAAATATTAGGTACTGTGTGTGGCGAGTGGGCAAGTCAACTCGCACATCTCAACACAGCACAGACCGTCTGGAATACTTCACTGGTGACCCCGACGTGATGATGAAGTGTGAAGGCTGCAATTGTTCTGTCGCAGGTCACCAGTTTGGGGATTAACGACGGAAGGGAAGATCTTCCACCGAGCGGGTGATATTTGCTCGGTAGACCGACGGTCCGATTGTTGTTGTTCGGAACTTGTATATATGCGCTTTATCTTGAAAATGTCGTAAGCGAGATTCAGGCATCTGTCAATTATCTTGCGTTGTATGATGGCTACCCGCCACATCACTCCCCTCCGAGACCGGAGGTCGTGTCATTTAGTTATCGTTGTCCGTGCTGAGATTAGCTTGCAAGTGCCAGTGCTGCTCGAAGTCTGCGGTGAGTCGAGACTGAGCTTGAATGCTGCGCATGTATCGTGAATAATCCATGTGACGCAGAGCTGCCACGCTGGAGATGTGTGACCCCAAGCGTTGATGATCCGGTCGTGGGCTGTGATGAACTGTAGTGTCGTGATGAGGCAGTGAAGTTGCGTGCCGTAGGACCATCGCCCGTAGTCACGGTCTCGTCGGGGGAGTAGTGTGGCGAGTGGGCAAGTCAACTCGCACATCTCAACACAGCACAGACCATCTGGAATACTTCATTACAATACGTAATATAATTGACATATCATGTGCCAATCGAATAAGTCTTCATTGAAATATCACAAATAAATGAACAACCAAAATTCAATATATGTTTTTTGTAACAAAGCGAAAAACAACAGTGACTACGTTCGCCCTATAAAGTTGCCGCAAGTCGTCGATCTGTTAATATTTCTGTCAATTAACAAAACACGATAAAGTCTCAACATATGTGTACTATGTACATGGGATTGTCGTTACCAAAATAAGTCTTCTCTCGTACGCAGAGACTTTATTCATAATATTTGTTCAGTAACAGATGGCTTGTTGACAGTTTTAGTATCCGAGCGCGCGCCTTGCACAATGTGCCCTTCGTCACGGCAGAAGAGCTTAAAAGCCAAAGAGAGAAACTGGTTTTTGCATTAATATGACAGAACTTTTAAGCTATTGCATAGATTTTATCGCAAATTTTTATTGCATAGATTGGTACAGCGCCCCTAGCGGCAAACATATGTAAACTTTCCAACTCCATACAAATTTGAGTTAACTTTTACGCTATCGAGAACGTTAAAAAAGCTCTTACTGAGCCAACAGATGATGCGCGTAATCAGTTGTCTCAAGTAAACGGGGGGCGGAAACTACCTTCGTGTCCCATTGCTCTTTCACAAAACTAACAAACGAATATAAAAAAGTTCTGATAATGTATTAAGTTGATGGTAGAGCTTGAACACTTTATTAATACCCTGATTATATTTTCAACATTTTGTGTCTCTTATATCTGTGTAACTTGAAATTTGACTGAAAGAAAACTAGTTAATGAGCATAGTTCATTTTCGGACATATTTTTTGATATTTTAAAACTACATATTATCATATTAAGTCATCATATCATATAAAATTTATAAAATATACAAATAAACGTTCCACGTATACTTCAATAGTTATTGCTTAGTGAATGTTTTTGTTTGCTTTTTGCTTGGCAGTTTATTTCACATCGATTCAAAAAATCATCTCATTACAACCTATAGCAGAAAATTGAAAAGTGGTATTTTGTACATCGTTACAAAGTTTTTTTTTTTCTGATAAAAAAGGCATTCCATATCAACTTTAATACCGGCGGTAAAGACATTTTTCAAAGTTTCACCTGTGTGTGAAATGATTTTCGCAGTATTATATACTGATTATACCTAGTCAGGTCATAAATTCTGTCACATGTTTAATGTAAAATAATTGAAACAAGTTTATTCATTATGTAACCATTCATATACCAAAATGAACTTAACAAAACATAGATTCTTATGACACTAAAGTTTATTCAAAATTACCTCCGTGATTTTGAATACAGGCCTTCAATCTGCACGGCCAGTCGTCTATCGCAGCACGAACGAGGTCCATGTCAATATCGGCGGCTGCCTTAATCAAAGATGTCTTGAGTGACTCCAAATTGGGATGAGGCTTTGAGCACGCCTTTTCCTCCAAGTGTTGCCATATCTTGTAATCTAACGGATTCAAATCTGGACTGGAGGAGGGCCAGTCTTCGTGCCGGATGAAGTCGATTTCACGCGCCGCCAGCCAGTCTTGTGTGCTCTTCGCTCTATGAGCTGGCGCCGAATCTTGTTGGAATACCCAGTGCCTGTTATTGAACATGGTATGAGAAACAGGTTCCACAAGGTTCGTCAGGACTGTATTTTGATACACAACTGCATTCGTTTTTACACCTTTCTCACAAAAATGTACCTCTGTTAAGCCCCAATAAGAAACTCCCAACCATACCATGAGCGAGGATGGAAAATGACCTCGTTGGACACGCGGAATACGGTTGCTCGCTTCTTCACTACTGTGTGCGTACACCTTATCATTTTGTTTGTTGTAGCTCTCTTCTACGGTAAAAATTTTTTCATCCGAAAAAAGAATTTCCCGATATTTTTTTCCCGCGTACCGCTTCAACAAAGCGCGGCATCTCTTCAGTCTCAGGTCCATTAGACGAGCATTCAAACGATGTCCTGTTTTTCTTCGATATGCCCGAAGCCCTAAGTCTTCATTTAACACCCTTTTCACCGTGGTTCTGCTTAACCCCATCTGAAGGGCCAACAGTTTCTGCTTACGTTTGGGATTTCTTTGAATTCGCGCCTTCACAGCTTTTATCACTGCTGGAGTCCTAACAGACCGAGAGCGACCACTTCTTGACCTGTCATCTACACTAGAGTCTTCATTGTATCGTTTGATGGTACGATAAACGAATCTTTTGGTTATATTCAAATTTTTCAGTATGTTTAAAATTTGAATTGGCGCGTAACCGCAACGATGCAACGCAATAACTGCAACACGCTCTTCTTTAAGCGTCCACTCCATATTTAAAAATGAGTAAAATTCTAAAAGTATACATTTTTATTTTCATGAACAATTCGAAATTCGAATTCAATAAACTTTTTTGTGGCCAGCATCCTAAAAGAAAAGTTTTTACTGTGTGACAATACTTATGACCTGACTAGGTATACTGACTATATACTGAATATATACTGACTATATACTGAATATATACTGATTATATACTGATATTATTTAATACTTTTCACAAATGACGCTTAAGTCCTTTACGTTCTACCGATGCGCTTCGGAATTTCTTTGATGTCAAATTGTCAATAACGAATCCTGAGTAATTTTAGAACAAGAGCCAAAGATGTTTTAAAATTTTGTTACTCTATATTTTTATAGGCTCGAGGAATTACTTATTAAAAGGTACGCCGAGAGCCCGTCCAAATAAATGAAAAAAGGCCTACAATGTGAATTAAATTTTAAAACATCTTCAAAGATATAACATACTTAAAATATATACATAACTTGCTTCTAATATTTTATGAGGTTCGATATCGAACCAACCCTTTTTTAAAAGCATGACAATCAAACAAATGCTAGCAACGAGAATCAGGAAAAATCATTAATACTGTTATTCCAAGAACCCCTTTCCCCTGAACTCGTCTCATTCATTTCATTGCCATTATTGCCAAGAATCACAGACGTAAAATTGTACAAGATACTTTTATTTTACTCGGAAACTGGGTTTCAATCTCCCAATATTTCGAATGAAGAGGTCTCAATTTAACTTTACAAATTGTAATTACTTTTCAATTTTACGATTTTAGCTTCAAATTTGTAAGTTTCTAGTAGGATACTTTATTGAAATATAATATAGTAAAATATTGTATTGTGCGCATTGATTAAATAAGGTCTTTTTTTGCATTCAATGCTCACACGATGGCGGGTAATTATTATAGACCAGAATAATATCTAAGCCGCTATATGACGATCACGGTATGCTGGCATAATACCTAGAAAACCTGATGCGCATTTAGTGAATCACTTAATGACCTTTCACAACACCAACACAACAAATTAAACTAATAAAGCGCTTATTTATAGATTTTTCTTCACTACCAAAGCACTAATTAAAGCTTCTTTGACAGAATGCTCGTGCAATGGCCACGCTCGGCGGTGCCGGTTCAACATGGAGCTTTACAAGCTGTCGGGCCGCGACAGTGGCGGCGTCTGCCTTAAATGCCGGCATTATACGGCCGGCAGGCATTGCCATTACTGCCGGGAAGGATACTACAGGGATCCTACCAAGCCCATCACTCACAAGAAGGCTTGCAAACGTGAGTATTAGTACAGATTGGCACTTTAAATTTAATTTAACTTTAATTTTATGTCGTCAATTTTTAAACTTAAAAACTATATACATATACATAATATGTGTACCAAACGTAACGTTGAAATAATTTGAAATTATCAAGTAATGTCAGCAAAGTGCGACTTGCATTTACTGGTTGTAGGGTACAGACAGAGTGAGCCCGCACGGGTCGTTATTCCGTCCTGTATATTTCTACCGCGAATACCACTTTTCGGTTTCATGCGATGAACAGCTATTGTACAGGGCAACGGAGTCTTCGACCTCATGTTTCAGCGTGAGACGTTTAGACTTTTTTATTGTTGAGAGTGTGGACAATAATAAATTAATGAATAAAACTAGCAATCCTTCGATAACCCTTAATAGGGTTTTGTCTTGTGCTTATATAACATTTATTTTAATGTTAGCATGGCATCTTGTGAACCTGACCGGTCACCGTCCTCGCCGAACTCGTCTTGGGACGACTGGCTCGACGAGTAAATTAACCAATAGAGACAGGCCACTGAGTTTCTTGCTGGATCTATTCAGTGGGTCGAGTTTCCAATCCGGTGGTAGATTTGCGAAGCACGGCTCTTGCTAGGGTACGTGTTAGCTACACTCCTGGTTTAAGCCCCGTGAGCTCACCTACTAACTCGGTGAATTTAGAATAGCCCCTCGAGGCTACTAGAATAGGTAGGAAAAAAAACTGAGTCTGCACCTGTATGTATCACCCACCTTGCCTATTTGTGTGGCGAAGCAGTAGTGCCTTTCACATTTGAGGATGAGTCAACTGCTGTACCACCGAAGTGAGACTTCTAACTCACGTCTCAAGCTAGAATTTACGTTATTAATGTCACTTACCACTAGGTCGGTTTATCCAAAACCCAAAAAAAATCCAAATTTGTTAGCGCATAATTTTCACGGTTCTGCTAATCCGATAATGATAGGGTCATCCATATAGCAATAATAATAACAAACAAAGAAATAACATTTCGAACAAAACATATCTTCTCAAACCACCAGGGATATGGGAAAGAAAAAAAAAATACAGAACGTATTTCCAAAACAGAAATACCGTACGCCATAAACCAGGAAAGTCGACGGACAATCGGCCACAAGCCATTTCGCATGGTGTGTGAATAGTTTCTGCCATAAAAATAGGGAATCGAGTTACCGACCTCTGACCCTCCCCTGAAATAGGCCTCGGGGACATCCAGGGACGAATTTAGACAGTAAAAAGGGAAGTTTTATTGTTTCTCCCAGAGATTGGAAATGGTAAACTAGCAGTCGATAATTTTATAAGGGACTTCGGCTCGTTTCGATTTTGTGAAGCCTTTATTTGAATTAAGGTTTTTACAACTCGATGGGCTGCAATACAAAATGCTGCTTTTAGTGATTGGATTACAAAGTCACAGATAAATATACCTAAATTATTGGTAGAATTAATTTTAAATAGAATAATACAGCTTATATTGCAGCCGCTACGACAAATCCCCTTATGACTTTTGACTGCTTGAACTCTGATTGAAGTTTTGAATACAGTTTTGTTGCTACGAATGAAAACGATTATTTCGTAATTTGAAGCTTTACATAAAGTTGATGTTGACTTTAGTTGATCCTGGTGACAGCCAATGACCAATGGAGCCAGTAATGTTTTTAATAATCTACCAAGAAGCTTTAAGGGATTTTAAGTTCAGACTCAGTTGAACTAGTTCAATAGCTATGCAGTCTTACAAGAAGCCTAACAACAAATTTTGTTTCGTAGCTATTGGCGAGCTTTATGTTACTTTCTTTCAATGAAATATCTATAGAATATATGGCATGAAATACAGAGGGAGCGGGAGTCTTTCCGTAAGCCCAGAGGTCTGAAATGATTCGCGAGATTGAGATCGACAATCCGAATGGTTCTTTTTTTGTGGAGTCAAACGGCAATGGAAAAGCAGTTAAACGAAACTGATATTTGCAGTACTTTATGTAGGACGGATGCAGTTATACATAACACAAGTCCTTGTCGGGGTGTGAAGTTACCAATTTGCTCTATTGAGTACTTCCCAAATTTTTGAAATGAAATTGTCATAATTTATTCTATATCTATTCCTATACAGACCACCAAATACCGCTCTGGAAATGTTGTTACTCAAGATGTATGAATTTGGGCAAGACCTCATAATAAAGATGTAATCGCAGTGATGAGAAACGAAAGAAGCCATTTTACAGCGCCATTTATAGGCAAAGATCAGTTTATGTGAATATGTGGAAATATTAGCATTAGTGACTTTAGAAAAAAATAGGGAGTCACTGAATTTCGAACGAGTGCGGTTATAGGGTATAGTTTAGCGATTGATACACGATGATAAGCAGTGCAGTTACAAGTTCTATGCACTGCGACGACAAGTTGTGCAATGCAATTAGACGACCACACTAAAAATCGTCGCAATATTTATCCTCTTCTTTTTTTATTTTTTTTTATTACTTAGATGGGTGGACGAGCTTACAACCCACCTGATGTTATGTGGTTACTGGAGCCCATCGACATCTACGACGTAAATGCGCCACCCACCTTGAGGCATAAGTTCTAAAGTCTCAAGTACAACGGCTGCCCCGCCCTTCAAACCGAAACGCATTACTGCTTCACGGCAGAAATAGGCAAGGTGGTAATACCTACCCGTACGGACTCACAAGAGGTCCTACCACCAGTAATTACGCAAATTATAATTTTGCGGGTTTGATGTTTATTACACGAAGTTATTCCTTCACCGTGGAAGTCAATCGTGAACATTTGTTGAGTACGTATTCCATTAGAAAAATTGGTACCCGCCTGGAATTTGAACACCGGTGCATCGCTCTTTACAAATGCATCGGACGTCTTATTCCTTGGGCCACGACGACTTCATTCTTCTGCATTTCACTATTGAAGTCATCCCTCGGTTTTTTAGTTGGCCATTTCAGCATTCTAAGGTTATTCCGTGCTTTCTTTGTCACTTTCTTATCTTACTCGTCCAAGCGCTTTGGGATCTACTATCTTTTTGTGATCCTCGATTCATATGACACATGATCAGTTTCACTTTGATGGTTTAAGCTCATTATAATTTTAATCGCATCATTTTAAAATTCCAACGTACCAATAACATTTTGCCAGCGTCTATGGAGGACCATGGTGCTATTTGTTAACCGAATTTAAAAAAGGAGGAGGTTCTCAAATCGACTGTATGCTTTTTTTTATGTTTGTTACCCATAACTTTTGACTGAGTGAATCGATTTTGATGTTTCTTTTTGATTAGAAAACTGACGCTTTCCGTTTGGTCCCATTTCAATTTAGTTCAGTGCTGATAATGGTATCCATGAGAAAACCATATAAGTCTTAAATTTGCATTAAGTACGTGCACGACAAATAGATGAATAACTCAATAACTCAATATCACGCCAACCGATTTCGATGATTATTGTTTTGAGTCTAAATTAATTTGTTGTTATTGTGCTTTTTGTATTGTTATTGTGTTTTTTTTCTATTTGAAGACGTTTTTTGTTAAAGCATGTCTATTTTTATAACCTGCATTTAATTTTCGTAATACGTTGAATCGTTTTTAATAACTCAATTTATTGACGTGAAAATTCAAACCGTAGGAATATTCTGCATATTTGTTTAAGGTTACAATTCATTTATCTTGAGCACCTAAAGTTGTCTTGAGAATTCTGAAACTTTTCGAAAATCCTCTTTCCGTTCCAACGGTTCCCAAAACGCCAATAAAACGGAGATCGGTTCGAATAGCCTCGTCGCCTAGCTAACAATACAACCGGTCATTCACATAATAGAGGGTGTGAGACTGATTTGAATCGTCACCAAGATCTACAATGAAAATTTGTAACTCACGTAGGAGAATCTTTATTATACAATATTTCTATTGGTAGGCTTTTATGACTTGCAGTACAGCATATTTTGCATCCGTTAAAATAGGTAGCCTCTAGTTCTATCTGGTTATTTAATGAACCAATTACGCTGATTTTACCCAATTTGATGGGGAAAACAGTTATTTATACATTTGAGACTACGACTTTATACGTCATATACGCGTTATTTCTTCAGGGTCCGGTAACAACCGTAAAGATGACCCTAAACCTGATAATCGTTAAAGCTAAAGCTCAACTAGCCTAAAGCTCAATTAGCCTTTGACCACAAGATGAGTGAAGTTTTAATGTATGTTTAATAACACCTGAAACGACTAATTTAGTACCGAACGTATAATTCATTTTTGTCTCCATTTTTGGAGCTACTTATCTAGAAAGATAAATTTAAAGCTTAGATCTAAAATGTATCAAGTACTGATTTTATCTAACACCTAATTCTTTTCGTGACCGGCGATGTGCCCTTAGGAAAACTGATGCGTACCCAATATCCGGATCTCACCCCTGCAATCCCCAAAGAACCACTTAAGTTGAGGTCACGTAGAGAAGGCTTGTGGTAAAGGACGTAAGATCCCTGCGCTGTTAATTGAGTTCCACGATCGATCTGAATCGATGTCAAAAATGCAGGGGAATTTGTTCCTTATTGACTATTCGATGTTTATTTAGTGAAGACTGAAAGGTGAAAAAATCTCCAGACATTATTCTCACTGGTGGTAGGACCTCTTGTGAGTCCGCGCGGGTAGGTACCACCGTCCTGCCTATTTCTGCCGTGAAGCAGTAATGCGTTTCGGTTTGAAGGGTGGGGCAGCCGTTGTAACTATACTGAGACCTTAGAACTTATATCTCAAGGTGGGTGGCGCATTTACGTTGTAGATGTCTATGGGCTCCAGTAACCACTTAACACCAGGTGGTCTGTGAGCTCATCCACTCATCTAAGCAATAAATAAAAATCTTAGCTTCAAATGACTCACAAGTATCAGGGTAAGAGAAAGAATAATCGTGTACAATCATGAACACAGTTCTTATAGCTACATGCAGTCTGCATGCAGTATGCAGTACTGGCTCCTTTCAACCAGCTGTTCTGGAAACTGGAATGAATTGAAATGTAAATCGATGTAATTGAGTTCTGCTACAGATAGTATTTGAAGTGACTTTATTAGCACCGTTGTGATTTGAAAATCGGTCAAACAGAAAATATAATCGATAATCGACTCTAAAAAAGGAAAACATATTAAATTTAGCCTACGTCAGAGTACGAATGTTTCTATAGGTTTCTATATCACGTGTGAACTTCACTTAATTTTTTCCTTAATTTAAATACGTATTTCTAAAAAAACTATAAAATGTAATTTAATATTAACTTACCTTCTCACTTACTTCTTACTTACTAACTTATCTTCTCATTATATATTATTAGTTTTTGAAATCCTTCGATAATTGACAATAGATTTTAAAGTATGCACTAACACAAAGATTCCCAAACACTGCTGTGCACTTTTGCGTGCTGTGGAAACATTTAAGTGTATATCTAAAAAATATTTTTTTGGCGATCAATCACTGTATTGCGATGAAACCTCATACGTAGAGCCTCTTCGAGCTTTCTCCCTTTACTCATTTACACGAGTCCCTCCGACGGTGAGTGAGTATGTGCGTCCCTCTTCCAAAGTAGTAAAACATCACTCCAATACTCTTATTGAAATTATTATTATTATTATTATAGCTTTATTTCCACTTAACAATGCAATTATATATCAGATTGTAAACTAGTTATTTTTTTCTTTTTTCTTTGTTATGTGGCCACTTCTTGGGTCAAAGCCTCCTCCATCCTTTTCCACCTTTCCTTGTCTTTGAAAATGTTGACTCCCAATTTTAACCTGATCATTTCGTTCAGTTTTCGCAGTGTGGGACGGCCACCTACTAGATGGACCGACGACCTAGTAAAAAGCGCTAGGTCTCGTTGTATGCAGGTGGCAATGGACCGGTCGCACTGGAAATTTATTGGAGAGGCCTATGTTCAGCAGTGGACGGCGATAGGCTGAAATGATGATGATGATGATGATGATTTCGTTCATACAGCCTGCGACTGTCACCCTGTTGGAGCCAGTGGGAAGACCTGTAATCAGACGAGTGGCCAGTGTCCCTGCAAGGATGGCGTGACGGGGACTACATGCAACAGATGCGCCAAAGGATATCAACAGTCCAGGAGCCATATTGCCCCTTGCATACGTGAGTTTATTAAAACTACTCCCTCGTAGAATAGAAAGAAAAAAATTATGTAAATCTTTTTGACGTGAACTAAAAGTATAAAAAATTGTTGCGTTTTATCAGACTCAGCTAGATCCAGATATTTAAAAGACTCTAATAGCGACTCTAATAGACTCTAATAGACTCTATGTCAACAGATATGTTCTACCGGACACACAAAAAAGCCAGTTAACAAAATTTTATTAACAACAAAGAAGTAACTGTCATTGCTAACTATATAAAGTAGTGCCGCATTATTCGTTTATACTGGTTGCGAATAGCTCTCTGTATTTTGTGACCCAGATCATTAGCACTCTTGAATCACAAGCGACAACTGTTTTTTTTTTAACGTATCATCCACTCCCACTAAGGTGATTCAACCACATATTGAACTGAAGAAACTTGGAAGCTTAAAACGTTTCCTGTTTTAGGTATACCTCGTGTGGTGACTGCTGTACAGGCTATGGAAGCCGAAGACAACGAGCCGGGCCGCGGTAAGTAGTAAGTGTACCTTCATCGCACTCTCGCCTCATCCACACCGCATTGACTACGCTCAATTACTTTCTATAATACAGGGTGATACTTTTTGAATACTTTATTATATTTTAGAATATTTATATTAACAAGAAAAACATATATATTTACCAGCTACTGAAAACATTTTGACTATATAAAATAGGGCTAAAGCTCTGCATTATCATAGATTGTCAAAAAAAATCTATTAAATTACTCAGCCGAGTCAATTCTAGCCAAGAAAAGCTGTTTTACACACAACTTTGTCATTTTCTTGCAAGTATCAAGCCTTTAATAGTTGACTGCATGTGCACCGGTGCGGGGCGCCACAGTAGGATTGCGGGAAAAGATACAACACTCTACGCCAAACGTGTTGTCTTGCGTCTAAGTCGGTTGAGTTCTGTCTCTTCTGAACTTCGGACGTGCCCCTGCTTCCTGCATGAGAATATTAATCTTTTCATGTCATATTAATATTATGTTTTATTTCTTCCTCCGAAGATGTTAAACTTCATTTTACACCACCACTTGTGATACCAACTCTTTTTGTTCATTTCCTTTTACCAAATCAGGCTATTTCCTGTGGCATTTTCCAATTTGATAAATGTCGAAGCATATAGTTAATGATGTGTAACAAAACCTTTCGTCAATGCATACAACCAAAAAGACGGTAGTTTCCCATGTACTTATCGTGCCTATATATCAAGGGCTGGTATTGCAGAAGTCAATCTGTTAACCAGTGGCAATGTCATATTTTAGAGACTCCCTTGTTTTATCGAAAAACCATGATGGACTTAAAAAAAGAACAATTGAAATCTAATCTTATCTAATTTATAATACAGTACCGAAGAAGTATAGTGACTCAGTGAATTATGTGAATATGTTATATGTGTGAAAATGAAGTATTTCGACACCTATGACCCACTGAATAATAGAAAGTAATTGAATGTGTTTTTAAAAGTGAGATTACACTACTATATCAGATCGCTTCATGATAGTTTACCAGTGTAATCTAAGTTCATGACGTGATCACGAAAACCATGCTTGTGAGCCAAAATCAACTGTCTAACTATCAAATGTTTTCATGTTTTTTAATTGTTTCTGATTTATATGCTAATATTATACATTTCAAGTATCATTGTGGAACATTATTGTGTAATTTCACTTAAGATTTTTGTTGCACTTTTTAATTTTCTCATTTTGACTATTCTATATGACATAATCTCATTTGTTTTTCGAGATTCATTAACGGAATTTGTAAGAAAGAAACAAGAAATGTATAGAATAAAACATTATTTCCTTATTTAAAAAATAATTTGTTTGCTTACCCTGTAAAATCCGATTTTCATACCTATTTTTTTCAATTTTTTAATTTTTGTTTTGTTCTTTTTTGAATGAACAGTGGCGAGTAAGAGGTAACTGATTTCATATATAATAATTTCCACGTTTTATCATATTTTAATACACTTTTATATTGTAGCTTGCACACAATATTATAATCAATTCAATTAATAGTAATTAGTACAATATTTTTAAACGAATGACATTCAGTCAATGATTTTAAGCCTTCGTCAAACAGAACGCGTAATTAGCGCGTATCAGAGCTCTAAACTAACGCTGCGCTATGACGCCGAGATGTATTGTAGTACTACGGTATTATACCGTCAAACAGAGCGCCAGTGCTATGAGCGCTATAGCGCTGGCGCTCTGTTTGACGGTATGTTACCATAGTAGTACAACACATCTCGGCGTCATAGCGTAGCGCTCTGACGCGCGCTAATTACGCGTTCTGTTTGACGAAGCCTTTAAATTTAGAAATTAGTTTTCAGTTCCACTAATAAGTATATCTGTAGTTGTAATCACAATTATTTTACGATTAATTTTAAGTCGGACCAGACGAAATCGTTTTGTCCCTTTTTAACTTAGCACTTGTTTAACTAAGTTGTGTTGGACTGTGGACAGCAGCGGACCAGTGCGGTCGGTGTCGCGTCGGCGCCCGCACGCTAAACCTGAACAAGTTCTGCAGCCGAGACTACGGTGAGTATCTCTCACTGCTTTACTGGACTTCGTGAACTAAAATCGACTGATTCGGTGGTCCAGTAGCGAGATCCACTGTTACGCCGAACGTTCGATTCTCACTTCGGGCAAACATTCGTGTGATAAACAGATTTGTTTGCTCTTTGTCTAGGTGTTTATTATCCATATAAATGTATGTATTAAATAAATGATAGTTTAAAAAAACTAACAAAATACGCTTTTATAGAAAATCCAATTAAAAAATTGAAAATAAATTTTAATAAATTTGAATTTGATTTTATTGTAAATAGCGACCCGCCCTCGCTTCGCTTCGGAAACATTAAAACACACATGAAACCAAAAAAAATAAAAAAAAAAATAAAAAAAGTAGCCTATGTTCATCAGGGACAATGTCGGCTTCTAATGGAAAAAGAATTTTTCAAATCGGTCCAGTAGTTTCGGAGCCTATTCGAAACAAACAAACAAACAAATCTTTCCTCTTTATAATATTAGTATAGAAAAAGCGTGGGGTGCATGGTGTCAGTAGTTATAAATATTTTATGAACAGATATGAGTATATTTTGTTAGTTTTTTTAAACTATTATTTATTATTTATTTTTTAGTTGAGATTCACTTTATTCAATTTTTTTTTTAAATATTGAATTGTCATCGGTCCTTAATAAGTTTACCAAATTTCGAGTTAATCCGACGTTTTGAAGGGGGTCAAACTCATGTTCAAAGATTTCGTTACATACTAACATACATACGTCTGAAGCTAATAAAAGCTTATTAAAAAAGACCTACTTAAGTATGTATGTCAGTCTCTGGTGCCCATACCACAGGGAATCCTAATTTAGGACCAGATGACCGTGCGTGATTTGTTCCTAGTTATCTAAATTGTCAAATATTCACAGTTTTAAAATCAAAAGGAAAATAGTTTTAGTAAGATCATAAATTATTTCATAAACGTGCGTGACCGCTGATTGTTGAGTTGTATTGCGTGCGACCGAAATAGCTGTATAATATTCGCTTCGAACAGCACGACCATGTCGCTTCCCGAGGGAGTCGTAAAAGGCGACTAAGAAACTCTCTGGATAATGGGCAACATCTTTCAACATAAGCAAACATTATGTAATAGCCAATCTGATTTCTAACTGTTGTGAGAACTCACGGATAAGTACTGTCCTGTACCTGTACCTTGAGATATAAGTTCTAAGTTCTCAGTATAGTTACAACGGCTGCCCCAACCCTTCAAACCGGAACGCATTGCTGCTTCACGGCAGAAATAGGAAGAGGGGTGGTACCTACCCGCGCAGACTCACAAGAGGTCTTATCACCAGTGCACAAGAGGTCCTACCAATAGTGACAAGAGGTCCTACCACCAGTTCACAAGAGGTCCTACCATCAGTTCACAAGAGGTCCTACCACCAGATAGACCGATACAGTTAGACCGATTCGGGCCCTTACGGGTCTGCGAGGCACGATTTTCTAATCGGAATGTTGTTGTTGCAGTCATAATGGGCAAGGTGGTAGGTCGCGAGGCGAGCGCGGCTGGCGGCGCCTGGTCCCGTCTGGCGCTCAACGTGCAGGCGGTCTACAAGCGCGCTCCCCGCAGCCGGCTGCGACGGGGCGCCGCCGCGCTCTTCGTGCGCGCCCGGGACCTCGCCTGCAAGTGTCCTAAACTAAAGATCAACAAGTCAGTATCTTCTTTTTTTGTCCTACCTAACCTGATATCCTTGAGAGGCTATTTCAGCTTCTCCTTGACGTCTAGGTGAGCTCACGGGGCCCAAACCAGAGTGGTGCTAATACTGGCTCTAGCAAGGGTAGTACTTCGCAGAATCTACCACCGGATCGGAAACGAAAATCCGACGAGAAACTCAGTGAGCTGTATGTTAATTTACTCGTCGAGCCCTTCGTCGCAAGCGACGGGTTCAGCGTGGATGGTGACCGGTGCTTGAGGTACCTAAGAGCACCGTTAATGGATCCGTAATGGCATGTTTAGTTGTTAAGAAAACAAAATTTTCATTCTTAATCGTTATTCAATCAAATAACAGATTATCTTCAAAACTCAACTCAACTGTTTCGTGAGTGACGTTATCTTCTTCTTCGAATAAGTTTAAAAACAATCCCCAGCGTTTTTCAGCTGCTTGGGTGACCCGTGGCATTGCTGGTCGCCACAAATAACAGTAAACCTTGGATAATACTATCAGATCGACCGTGACCTCCTCTGCCTACAAAGGTAATAAATAACTCGTACTACTACGTACATTTTTTTCTCGGCAGATCATACCTAATCCTAGGAGTGGAAAAAGAAGGTCTTCAAGCTGGCTTACCGGGCCTAGTGGTGGGAGAGAGAACCCTTCTCCTTGAGTGGCGCGACGACTGGCACCGACGCATCCGTCGTCTTCAGCGTCGCGCGATCAACTGCCACTAGTCGCCAAAACATGCCGATAGATGTCACTGTTATAGATTTTATTCGTAGAGACTACCGGTCTCCATCACAAGATGTCGCTGTACAGGCCAGACAAAGCCGCGGGCATTTGTTGACTCGTATTCCGTCGTTTGTTCCGTGCGAGAATCGAAGAGTAGTTATTCATTCAAATGTTACTGCCACTCGTAACTATGATAATATTTTTTGAACATTAATTAATTGGCCTTCGAAAGTTTCGATGTTAATAAATCACTAATGAATTTTTCGAACGATATCTTTTTAACTGACATTGTTTCTGAAATCGAATTAAAGTCTTTTCTATCATTGAATATAATCATAAGTTTCCTAGTCCGTAAGAATATACTGGCAACATTTTCTACTGTGAACCTGCTTACATTGTAGAATCATATTCAAGTAGAAAATATACGATTCCGAAAATGATAAAATTAGTAATATGTTTCCTTTCCTAGGATTTATAGGATTAAATAAATAACTTATAACTTGAACTTGATGTTATGCATAAATACGTGCGTTTCTTTTCTGTTTCTCGTAAAACACTTTAAGCTATATTAAGATTCGCTTGTTTTGTGTCCTAGCAACATTCTTATCTATTAGATTGATTTATGCAATTGACAAGTGACTGACACTGGCAACTACTACTTCTTATTAACCATGGACGTATAATATAAAAACGAACTGTTTAATCTTTCCTTTTTTAAATTAAATTTCATCAATACTTATATACATAGATTGTTTTAATGAATAATGTTGTGAACTTCTAAGTAATCTATACGCTCTAGTCAAAGTGGACATATTGATGACATACATGTTGAAACTCCTTCTCTTTCTCCTCCTATAAAGGCTTCGACGTAAACTCGACTGTAATTGTAAGGTGATAAGGTATATTTTATGTACGAGTAGGCCTGCACCATTTTGCTTATTTCTGCGACGAAGCAGTCATGCGTTATGTTGTGGAGGGTAGTAGAAGTGCCATTATAAGATACCGTTTGAGACTACAACCTCATGTCTCAAGGTGACGGTTACGGTAGTTACGCTATGATGTACATAGCACCCAGGTGGTGTGGTACCGTCAACACAAAAAACAATTCAGGTTTCACATTGTGTTCCTTCTTCCCTTCTTGATTGATTCATGCCACTTTGACCATTTAACAAACAGTGAAGTCCTTGGACAAGTGTACTAGACTCCTCTGCCAAACGTTTTGTTACTTAAGATAGTGTAATCTACAAAGTAATCGCTTAAATATCTTATAATTTTGTTAACTTCGACTAAACTATAATAATATGTAGGCACTACAAAATGTACCTTGTTTGAAAGAATATGTTACACTTTTTAGAATCCTAATACGAACTGTTTATTTTTTCTGTTTGTTTCTGTCTTTTGTATACTAATCGTAGTCACAATGTTTATTGAATGTACCTCACTCGTAAAACCTGATATAAGGTTTTGATTATTTTTAATTGTAGTTATAAGTTATTGTAATATTATTTAAGTTAAAAATGTATAAAATGGTGTACGTGAAATTATTATTTTTTGTAAATTATTTTAATCTTGCCAAAGTAACTGACGGAGTGACGACATGTACTCTCTTTTTTTTATTTCTCATTTGAATCATCGTTTTTTTTTTTTCGAACAGAACGCGTTTTAATGTATGTACAGTATTATTAGCTTTACTAAGAAACGTTATGATTAAGGGATTCTTTCAGGTTTGCAATGTACATGTGCATCATTATTTGATGAATATGATTCTCTCAAATCTTGGTCAATTTTATTAACTTGTCAGTCCTTCAGTCCCTCAGTCTAATATCGGGATCACAGATGACGCAAGCACAGGATCCTGACTTAATATACACTTAACATTGCTTACAGATGAAATATTGCTTTATTTGTTGTTTTTTTATTGCTTAGCTCATGACCCACCGATTGGTGTTAAGTGATTACTGGGGCCTATAGACATCAACATCATAAATGCTACCACTCACCTTAACACTTGAATTCAAAGTCTCAGTTCTACTGAGCTCAGCGGCTGCCACATCTTTCAAATCAAAACGCATTACTGTTTCACGGCAGAAATACGCAGTGTGATGGTAGCAGTGCGGACTCAAAACGCACCCTAAAAAAATTATTGTTCCTAAGCTGATGGCCTTGAGAGGCCATTTCAACGTAACCCTAACAAGTACGAGCTCACGGGGCTCAAGCCTAAAGACGTTGCTAACACTAACCCTAGCAAGAGCTGTGCTTCGCAGAATCTACCACCGGATCGGAAACGCGGCCAACTGACAAGCTCCGGCAAGCAACTCAGTGAGCTGTGTCTGTAGGTTAATTTACTCGCCGAGCCCTTCATCGCAAGCGACGGGTTCGGTGATAGCGATGACCGGTCAAAAATGTTTGTAGATTAATTAGAATTTAACCAACATCTCAAATTTGTTTGATATTTGTCTTGGTTATTTATAGCTCAATGAGTCACGGTATCTAGATTAAAGGTAAAAATCTAGGTAAAAGATTAAAACGGCCTGCTGAGTTTGTTTCGTCGACTCTTCTTGTTGGAAAATATAGCAATGATCTCTAATATAAAATAAATAAAACAACATATTTATGAATCTACAAATCTCTGAGTATTTTCGTTTTTAGTCAATAACAAAAACTTTAAATTTAAATAGAACAAAAAAAAAATGCAAAGAAGAAAAAAATATGTAAATCCGAAATGAATCGATCGTATAAAAAAGTGACCAACAACCATAAAAGATGTATCGCTTTCATTGTAATCGTCCACAATTGAGCTGTCAAAGTTATTTATGTAGAACGCGGACGATACATCCGACACTGGATCTAGTTAGATGTAATTAAAGAAAAGCTCACAGCTATTATTGGACGAGCACATTGGATTTGATTTCTGAACGTTTTATGTCATTTTAAGTGTCATACATAACATAAAATTTTGGCGGGAACACGAGGAGCGAAGTTGTGTGATTTCTTTTTTATTTTGTCTATTTAGTGTTTTTTCAGATTTGAATGTGTAATATCGAGGATTTATTGACTGTTTAGTATCTGTGAAAATGCACAAATGTGGGAAAATGAAACAAAGCCGTTACACGTAGCTTCTCGGGATCTTCCAAAAAGCGCACTGAAAAAATCTCAATAAATAACCAGCATTTTACTGAGATTATATTTCAGCTTAAATCATCTCATTTCATTTAACTTCATGACAACTGATTAATGTTTCAAATTAATGAATTTCATTTCATTGTATGGTATGAAACGAAGGCTTTTTTATAACACAGGGAATTCTAATTAGGGGTCCAGGTGACCGCGCGTGATTGGTTCTGAGCTATTTACACGAATCGATTGATTAATTAATATTACAGCGATTCCTTTTGCTCATGTTAGATCCATGGCAGCTCGGGGCGCCTCTAGCAACACAAGCGCATAAATCTCGTTGACGCACGATCCAACAATTTACAATAATCTCGGTGCTGCCATTCTCGGTAAACAAAAACGGCGACGCACGTCACGACTTTATCTTTGTAATTGAAAAAACCTAAAACGCTTCGGTTAGCTTGCGATAGCGCGTTAAAGGAACACGATCGTCCAATAACTGAAGGCAGGAGCCGCCGTGAACCCGCCACAGTATAACTTAGCTTAACTGCTAACTCGCTAATTAAGTTTTAATTATTATTTTTTATAGCCCTTGTAGGTAGACGAGCATACGGCCCACCTGATGGTGAGTGGTTACCGTCGCCCATGGACTTCAGCAAAGCCTGGGGCAGAGCCAAGCCGCTGCCTACCGAAATTAGCTCAGCTTTTATATCTTAGCTTAAATTAATTTTTTATTAGTTTTTACTCTTGAGAGTCCGCACGGGTAGGTACCACCACCCTCCCTATTTCTACCGTGAAACAATAATGCGTTTCGGTTTGAGGGGTGGGGCAGCCGTTGTAACTATACTGAGACCTTAGAACTCATATCTCAAGATCGGTGGTGGCATTTACGTTGTAGATGTCTATGGACTCCGGTAACCACTTAGCACCGGGTGGGCCGTGAGTTCGTCCTTACACCTAAGCGATAAAAAAAATTAGCTTGAGTTACGTGAGCTTAATTTGTACATACCGGAATAAGTTCTTGCAATTGTTTGAGCCAATATCAGCTAAAAAGTCTCGAAAAATCCGTATATTCAATCTGGTCTCAGAGGCAAAGGGTGCTGAATCTCATATTATATATATGATACTTGAACATCTCACGAACACACCTATAGGAACAGATCAGGGAGAATGGAAGAGTTAATCTTAACCAAACATGAAAATTCGTTAATTGATTAAATGTCTTTTGAACAATTATGATGCACTGTACATTACAAACAAAATTTATATAGAAAATAGCTGATATTATATTAAAAGCTATTTAATATTCACGGGCGTTTCTTACGCCTGTACATAATATACTAATATTAGGTGACCCGCTTTGAAAAGTTTTACAAAATATTGTAAAAAGTGTACTTTAGTTATTGTAGAATTAATGCAATGTATTTATCATTGTCTAGTTGTGTATGCATATCTTTATGAAATAGCGTCATAAGATTTAAATGTTGTTTTAATATTGTACTTGCTAATGGTCGAATTAAACGTATTTCTTTTCAGACAAAACAAATAGCATCTTAGTAACAGAAGAAGTAATCTCTATCTCTTTTCATCTGTTTATCCTACTCAATATTGCAATATGTCAGCGTACTGTGTAACGACAATACAACCACATTCACATGTAAAGCTTTTCTAAGCGTAAATAATGATTTATGTGTATTCAATCAATAAGAATAACATGAAGTATGAATTTAGAAAGAGCACCTCGACGCATATCCGCTGCGCGATATTCTAAGGAATCTGTGGTCATCCGTGGCAAATTGAATTATTTTAGTTTTAATAAAAGAAATAGAAAACATTATCGTGTATTGATTTATTGTTAGCAATGATATTTTAATTCATTAACACGATCACAGTATAACATAGTGAGAAATGTGACACGCAGTTTTTTGGAACGAAGTTCCTTATCGCGCGTTGTGAAAGGGGGCTAGACGGAAAAAATTCTTACGAAAAGTTGTCACGACACTTTTTAGATCTGTCATTCTGACCAATCAACGTGTAGGCGCTTATCGCGTGACATTGCTCGTATCCGATTGGTCCGCGTAATGAGTACAGTTTCTCGAGATAGCGTTTCAACAATAGTAATTTAGTTCATAGTATTGTTTTTTTCTTCTTCATAATGCCGTAATTTATTAATATAACTTAAAAAAAAAATTACAATTCCTTCACTAAATAATCGAAAGGAACTTCGTTCCATCCGGGTGTCCCTTGACACCTCTGAAGTTTTTTTTTATCTCAACGTGATCAAAATGACTTGACTGAATTTTAAATTTGCTGTGTAATTTATTACTTCCCAATCGCTTGCAAGTTTACTTTACTTGGAACTACTGAAGTAAATCAACAAACAAAAATGTTTTGAATTCTATTTATTTAACTTTAAAGGCTTAAATAATGATTTTAACAAATTGTGAATATTGTTTTTATAATCATATATTATTATTATTATTATTATCTTTAATGTAATTTATTTACATAAAATCGTATGGCTTATAACACGATTCTTTTCGCTTTTTCGATTGGCGTAATTTAATACATAAACTAAATGTGAAGGTCGTCTGTGTGTTCAATTGTAATCTTTGGTCTTGACGTATGTACCAACAATATTAAAAATTATAATACACTCACATTAAAAAAAAGGAAACCATAAAATTAGCACGACAAAGATATTCAAGTGATATCTTAAGATCATCTGGTACATGCCGAGCCGGTATGCAGATTAAACGTACTATAGCGCACAAAAGGCCTACATACTTCCGTCGTTAATTTAGTGAGCATTTTCAACGCGACTGTACCGTTGCTTCTGAATGTATTTTCTAATGTAATAAAGTAACAATAATTTCTAAGTGATGTCAAATTAATAGAAAAGCATTTATAAATATTAGGCTGTTCACACACACTCAATGATTATTTTGACCTCAGATTTACTAATAGTCATAACTAGACCTTAAATCAAAAGGA